TAGAGAAGGAGACGGAGAAGCTGAGGCAGGGATCTCGACAGGATGTCAGGAGTAAGCTGGAGGAGGAGGTGGGAGTGGAGGAGGTGGAGAGGAAATAAGAGCAGATACTGTTAAATCTATTCATGATTCTCTCTCTCTCTCTCTCTCTCTCTCTCTCTCTCTCTCTCCTTTTTCCCCCCACTTCATCTGCTCTATGAGGTCTTTTTCTGTCACTCTGAAGCTCCAGTCTTCCTGTTTACCCTCTCCTCTTTCATCAGTTCAATTAACCCCCCCCCCCCCCCCCCACACACACACACACCCCACCCTCCCATCCCTGCTGTCTTTTTCTCTACAGACCTTTTTATCTTATGTCAATTTTCACTTGTTTAAATCAAACACTTTTTGTACCATGCTATTCTTTTTGGTTCTTTTACATATTCTTTACTTTTATTCTAAACCCTTTTGATTTGGATTCGACATGAACTTCTTCCTTCGTATTATTATTTTTACAGTTCTTCTCTGGTTGGCTTTATCCCCTTCCCCCTCCCCATTTTTCCTTTTGTACACATTTTTACTCCTCATAGGCTGTGAAACCTGCTCTACCTTTCCTCTCCGTCTCATTTTCCTCTAGAGGCTCTGCTTGCATCTTATTCTCTGGTTTCTGACATCATTTGACTTTCTTCATTCCTTTTTCTCTCTTCTTTTGAACTCCCATTTGCCTTAATGCAGTTCTTTGGTCTCCTTCTGTCATCATCTATACTTTTTCTCCTTCCGCTCATCCTATTTTCCACCCTCACTACTAACTTGGCCTCCTTGCCTCTGCCATCCTCCTCTTCTTCCTCTCTCCATCTCTAAGAGGCGCAGCCAGCACCCCAGAACTTCTTTTTGGCAACAAGAACTGACAGTCCTCTGCTTGGCTTTGCTGTTAGCTATTTCACTTCCTCCCCCTGGGTCTTTTTATCTGTTCCCTTCCTGCAGAGTCAGAGTTTCTCTTGTGATAAAGTTTATCTTTTTCTTTCCTGGTGCCAAAACAATTGTCTTGCAATTAAAAATGTGTTAACCTGTGGGTCAGGAGTTTAAAGTTCAACTTGGTTTCAAGAAAAATACAAAAGCGAAGTGTTTGCATTTTTTAAAAAGTTAGATCAGCCCAGACTTTTGTTCATACATAATTTCCTCAAGTCTTAATAAATTGTCTGAAACACGTTTCTAAACCCACAGAAAATGAAACAGGCACTCCTCTTTTCACAAATTAACAGCTATTTATAAAAACATCAAGATCTGCGAAAGCTTTGAGCTAACAGCAAACTTAGGTGTTAGGTAATAAAAACACATATTATATTATTGTTGGTAGATGTGTCCTCTTGTAAGAATATTTGTCATGACGTGGTTAACCCAGCTAGCAGTGCCTGCACCATGGGCAGAGGTGGAAAGTAACAAATTATATTTACACACACACACACACACACACACACACACACACACACACACACACACACACATATATATATATATATCACCTCAATTTAAAATACCAGGCTTTGCCTTGTCCCCCAAATGCCTTGATACGGCCCTGGTAGTAGGACCGAGTTTTGAAGGTGATCTGAATTGTATCAAATATTTAAAGGGACTTTACGGAGTTTTGAATTTTTATGCTCGCGATTGCCCCCTCAGGCCAAAAGCGTAACGGCAGCTTCAATAGTAGGCTCGTGCACGAGACGCGCATGCTGTACGTGCACACTCCTTAACGAAAATACAGCTGAGACAGTCCCGTGTGTGTGTGTGTGTGTGTGTGTGTGTATGTGTGTATCTGTGTATGTGTGTGTGTGTGTGTGTGTGTGTGTGTGTGTGTGTGTGTGTGTGTGTGTGTGTGTGTGTGTGTGTGTGGCCCAGTGCATAGAGGACAGGAGAACAGCTAATTAATTAAATAATTTTGTTCTTTACCTTTCTCTTCAGCACAGCCGACTAAGGTTTAAGATGGGTCAGTCCTGCATGGTCAGATCATTCCCTTCCCTTGCTTGAAAAATTGTTCCAAAATGAAAGTTGAACCTACATCATTTTTATCTGTGAATTCAATGCCGTTCGGCGAGTCTCAAATAAAAATTTGGGCATCTTACTGTAAAAAAAATATACCATTAATGTAAAAAATTAACTCTACATAAATTACGTTCACATCAAGAATCAAACCCGGATCTTCTGCTCGAGAGTCCGATATCTAACTAGGTGAGCTAAAGCGCCAGTAAAGTCTTTCGTATCTGTAACTTTTATATCCTAGATGACAGCTGAAACAACATTCAAAGAACGGTTCGGAGTGAAAATGGCTATTTTGTTGCTAATTTGCAGGAAATATCTAGAAGAAAGTAGCTGAGGGTCCTCAGAAATGTAGCTAGGTTCATCACTAGGCGTTAGGAACAGCGACAAAGTCGCTGAGTTGGTACTACCTCACTCTTTGCTGCTAAAGCTACTGATAGCAAATGCTACGGGCTATGCCTGAGCAGCCTGCTCGACCCGAGCAGCTCTCTTTTTCTGTGATTTTACAGAAAAACAGGCAATCACAGTAAAAATGCCAGGGCTCATTCTACAGGACCAGGGCATTGCAGGAGAATGTATGAAGAAGACATTTATTATTTCTATACATGTTTTGGCTGTCAGACTTCCATAATGTCCCTTTAAATATTATATGCTGATAAATTATTACTTTTTAAAGATAAAAACCCAGAAGGCAATGCTGGGTGGAGTGTCCTGCCCAAGGACACAAAGACAGCAACAGAGTGAGTGGGGCTTGGACCTGCAACCTTCCGATTACAAAGCACACTTTCAACCCCTCTACCACCGTACTATTTTATCAGTAAGAGCAAAACTAAAGAACAAAAGCAGATCATTTTACTGAGCTGTGTGGCTAATCAAAACAAATAAATGTGGGGGGAAAAATAGAAATAAGATCTTAACAGATGTTATTTTCACTAAACTATAAAAGATTTGATTCTTTTACACATCGTGTCCACTTTAAGAAAAGCAGTCTGGAGCCATAGGAACATCAGAAGCACTCATTCAACCATTTTTTTTAAATCCTACTGAATTTGACTGCTGGACTATTTCCCAGGTGTCTATGGTTGAGAGGTGAGAGGTCAAGGGTCACACCATCAAAACCTAAATTCAGATCAGAATCTCAAACAGGCACGGACTCACAAAAAGGTTTGAGTTGACACTGGAACGTATCAATATGCATCAACTTCATGTATCAACAGGAACTCCCAACAGTGCAACGCACCATTACAGACCGTCTCCCAACTCGTTGCAAGCTCAAAGTTCTGGAGCATTCTGATAGTTTTCCAACCAACGGTGCAACTAAAAAGGCTAATTACAAGCAAATATAACCACCACAGACAGTGTGAGGTTTATATTTCTTTACTCAATGAGAATGAATGGCAGGTTTTGGTGTTTTATCAGAGTTTAACCATTTAAACACCTTCAACAGTGAGCGACTTATGCCAGCAGGGTAATAAAAAGCTGTCTGTACAATGCAGGCAGTGTTTTCACAGAAAGCCAGGGTTTAATATCTCTCTGCTGTAATTAGCTTGAAAGCTAAATGACACAAAGATTATGAGGTGAAAGAGCAGAGTACGGCCTTCCGTCTGAAGGCGTGTCAGGGACCGTTTCAAACGATCAGCTGCTTTCTGAAGGTGTATGCCAAGAGCTCGTTGTAGGAGTGAAAAATATACCCCCTCTTGTCTTGTCCTCCATGACGGTGTCTGCCTCCGCCACAGAGAGCCAGTTAGCATGACAGACAGATAGATAGATACAGAGAGGGGGAGGAAAGAGGGGGAGACGAGGGGGAGACACAGACAGTCACCTTAAAGGAAGTGCCATTCAGCTGGATAATGATTCTGTCTATCTGCAACAAGGTCTATCAACTAACTGGTTTCTCATCTGCCTTTTGTCCTTCTGCTGCGACATTTTTCCGACTGTCTGCCTGTCTCTCTGAATGAAGTTTCACCGTCTTCCTCTCCCGCAGTGCGACCCAGACAGCAATTAGTATGGGGATTGACAAGCAGTCACAGGCTCCTGAGTGCACATTCCACTGGTGAGACAAATGTCTTCATTCAGGAACAGCAGATCTCAGCAAGGACAAGTGGAAACGTTACACAATCTACAAACGCTTCTCGTTTCTGCTTCGGACATCATGTCTGGTCTTAGCAAAGACTGGGAAGCATTTTGACGGGTTTCAGCTGATTATTTGAAACTGAACACCATTAAATTTGGTTAACGCCCCACCACTGTGTGTGCATGTGTGTGTGTGTGTGTGTGTGTGTGTGTGTGTGTGTGTGTCTGTGTGTGTGTGTGTGTGCGTGTGTGTGTGTGTGTGTGTGTGTGTGTGTGTGTGTGTGTGTGTGTTCATTAGGAGAAAGCTTGCATGAAATTTCTTCAAGGAGAGCTTGGCCTTTATTTACACACACACAAGAATTAGTGGAACAAAAAAAAACTCATAAGAAATGGTAAATGGCCTGTATTTGATATAGCGCCTTCTGGAGTCCTGGAACCCCCCAAGGCGCTTTACAACACAATCAGTCATTCACCCATTCACACACACATTCACACACAGGTGGGGATGAGCTACAATGTAGCCACAGCTGCCCTGGGGCGCACTGACAGAGGCGAGGCTGCCGAGCACTGACGCCACCGGTCAATCCGACCACCACCAGCAGGCAACGTGGGTTAAGTGTCTTGCCCAAGGACACAGCAACAGCGACAGACTGAGTGGGGCTCGAACCTGCAACCTTCCGATTACGGGGCGAGCACTTAACTCCTGTGCCACCGTCGCCCACCAAAGAAAACGGCGCGAGCCCGCCCACACAAACTGTCACTTGTTAGCCATGAGTGTTGGTGTAAAATTACACTCTCACCTTCTCCTGCCTAATAAAAGCAGCAGCCGCGCAGACCTACACAAACACCCGTGTGCCTCGGAGTATCCCAGCAACGAGACAACACAAAAGCACACACACAGCCAAGCGTGCCGTTCCTACCTGTTTGTGCATCTCGATGTTGAGACCGTAGGACATTTCGTAGTACTGTGGAGACAAAAACAAATGACAGCATCGTTGGCGTTCTGTTCACGACACTCATTAGCATTCAGTTTTACACAATACTTCCAGCTGAACATCTGTTGCATGGCATATGTTGCTGTTCATCACTGCAGCTCCCACGAATGACAAAACGGAATGATTGGAGGGAGTGTGTAGAGAACAACAAGTGTGTGTTGTTGTAATAAATGTATCTTCATATCTTAATCATCATATTGCCTCATCGTGTGAGTGTTAGAGTGTCAGATGGGGTCTGGGAATAACTGTGTGTTGAGAGTTTGATGGTGCACCTGTGAATAATGGTGTGTAGAATGAGAATGGGCTTGCTACAATCCTCCAGGTCTTTGTGCAAACAAAAACCTCCCTTACCAAGTCCTACCAAGAAGCCTGTGCCTGCAACATTTTCAGCAATAGTCTGGTGATGCAAAGTGTAAATCTGCTCTAACACAATACGACCGGAATGCTATCACATCAGCCAAACCACATCTGAGGACTCGTATTGTTGCTCCAGCTCAGCGCTGGAACGCTCTTAAGGAGAAATGTCCCAAACGAGTTCATTTCCTCCCCCTTTCAACACAACAGCCTTTTGTTGGTGGCCATATGCTGCAGATGGTTTGTTGCACAAAATCATCTTTTTGTCAAAACTCTTTAAAAGAGCAGGAACCTTAAATTGTGCTGGACGAGTTTTTAGGAGTGTGATGCACATTATATGTATATATATATATATATATACATATATATATATATATATATATATATATATATATATATATATATATATATATATATATATACACACGAGTTACTGATCAAACCTTCTGAGATGAACACATTGGTGAATATGTTTTTCCCTTGGGGGGGGGGGGGGGGGGGGGAAAGAAGAAATACTCAATAAAAGACCTGTTCTTTCAATAGAATTTAATTTTTGATGTAACGTGTGAAATAGCAGCATTTAGGCTACCAGCTGAAAAGCCTCTCCATCATCAGAAGAGAAAGCTGACTTAATACGGATGCATCGCTCAAAGCACAACAAAGCAGAGGCTGCAGTTTAAAAAAGTAGAAATAATTCCTGAAAAAAAAAGAAAAATATTCAAGCACAGATGTCCAGATTCAGATGTATCAAAGTTTTGAATTCAAGCCAATACATTTCATAAATTCAGTCCAGAAAAAGTAGTTCAATGAAGTTTATATATAAACCAAATAATTAACTAACTAATAAAATCTGTAAAATCAGTAAAAAAAATCATACAAATATTCACAAACATCTGCTGTACATAAATACAGCACTGATAAAGGGTCAGGATTACAACAAGTCAGTGTTTTATGCATTTGTTTGTTCTCCTGGGTGTCTGTGTGTGTATGACTCACGCACAATAAATAGTGTGTGTGTGTGTGTGTGTGTGTGTGTGCATGCATGCGTGAGCATGTCCTGATACTGTGTCTGCATGTGCACCTTTCCTACGCGTTCTTTGTTGCTCTCTGTGTGTGTGTGTGTGTGTGTGTGTGTGTGTGTGTGCATGCATGCGTGAGCATGTCCTGATACTGTGTCTGCATGTGCACCTTTCCTACGCGTTCTTTGTTGCTCTCTCTCTCTCTCTCTCGGTGTGTGTGTGTGTGTGTGTGTGAGTCAGTAATTTTCTTGGAGGTGAGCAGAATACAGCTGGCAGGAATTCCTCATGGTGACAAAGGCATCCTCTGTCACAGGGCAGGCAGCGGCCGCTCTGACTGATGAGAAGAAGACATGGCTCTTCCTCTTTCACTGAATCCTCCTGCTCATCTTCACTCCAGCGCTCTCTTCCCTTCATTTGTTCCCCGCCTCATTCTGTCTCTCCCTCACACTCCAAGCTCTATCTTTCAGGAACTGTCACCCCCCCATCCCACACACACACACACACACACACACACACACACACACACACACACACACACACACACACACACACACACACGCACATATACACACACACACACACACACACACACACACACACACACACTTCCCTTCCTCTTGCTTCTCTCTAGTTATTCTACTCCTCTTTAAAGTGGTCTGCTGGTCTAACCTTTTTCAGTACTTTCCTCCCTTTCTGATCAGATTTTTCTCTCTAGCCATCACTCTTTACAACAATTGTTCCACACATACTGCTACTCTAGATTCATGTCACATAATACCAAACCAGTTAGCCCTCATTCGCTATTGTATAAAATCCAGATAGGAAAACTAAAAGCTTTCTAAATTAAACCCTCGTATGAGATTTTTAATGCTGCGTCTGATAGAATAACACAAACACGGGGAATTCTGAAGAGGCACCATACATTTTCATGTGTTTCGCTGTGTATCGCTGGTTTTCCCCTCAGACTTTGACATGCTCTGACATATTTTAATGCTTCAGTGGCAACGTCAGTCTTCTCCCCAAATATATACTGAGTTTGAGTCTCAGAAGGCATGTGGAGTTCCTCGTACTTGAGCTGAAACGTTTAAAAAAAAGAAAGAAAAACTGACTCAACTATGTGAGTAGAACAAGTTACTCGATACAGGGAAGGACTTTGATTAGAAAACAGCAGATGTTAATGTGTTTGAGTAGAAATGACTATTCAAACTGTTCAAAGACAATCCTGTAACCCTGGACGTTCAGGGGACAGTCGTTAAAAGAGATATCTTCAATCAAAATGAACAAAAATTACATCAATTTGGACTCAAGCAACAGGAAAAGGGTCATGTGCTTTAATGAATCCAAATGATTTGGTGCATCATGATGAGAAAACCATAAAATAATGATCCATCATGCCTAGAGTATACCATAACAAGCCTGCAGACAGGCTTCCTTCAGCTGGCCAGGGTCAAAGGTCAGAAACAATATGTGCCCATGTAGGTCAGCTGGCTTCCTGAATATACTGAATGTTTTACACCTTTTGTTTTTACTCTTTATTTTTGTTCAGCAGGATGAAGTCGTATTCCATAATGATGTTGCAAGATTTAAACTAGCAGATAAAAATGCTGGACAAGACTTTCATCAGGGGTAAAAAAAATAACTGAAGCTGGATTAAAATTAATTATATAGCATTGCCTAAACTCATTCAAATTAAATTAGTAAATGCATAGCAAAAAAAAAAAATGTAAGTGTGTGCGAAGTTCGGTTAAAAGTTTTCTTTTTTTTCTTTTTTTTTTTTAGTTTAGTTTA